TGGCCGATAACTGTGTGACCCTGGCCTGGAGGATGCCCGACGAGGACAACAAAATCGACCACTACGTGCTGGAATATCGCCGGACCAACTTCGAGGGGCCRCCGCGAGCCAAGGAGGACCAGCCCTGGATGGTCATCGAGGGCATCAAGGGCACCGAGTACACGCTGACCGGTGGGTGAGGGGCTGTGCCAGGCTCTGCAGGGGACAGGGGGGTGGCAGTGCCACCCTGGTGTCCCTCCCTGTGACCCTGCCATGCTCACAGGGCTGAAGTTTGACATGAAATACATGAATTTCCGCGTGCGGGCGTGTAACAAGGCGGTGGCGGGCGAGTTCTCGGAGCCGGTCACTCTGGAGACCAGAGGTGGGTGCCAGGGGTGGCCAGGTGGCCGTGGGTGGCCGTGGGTGGCACTGGGGAGGGGACAAAGCGCTGACAGGGCACTGTCCCCAGCGTTCATGTTCCGGCTGGACGCCAGCACGTGCCACCAGAACCTGCGGGTGGACGAGCTGAGCGTGGAGTGGGAYGCCACGGGAGGGAAGGTGCAGGATGTCAAAGCTCGGGAGAAGGATGGCAAGGGCAGGACGGCCTCTCCGGCCAACTCTCCGGCCAGGTAACGCCACCCTGGGCACCCCTGGGCACCCTGGGACGGCCCCAGCGATGGCAGTGCCAACCCTGCCCTGTCCCCTGTGCCAGGGTGGTGCAGTCRCCCAAGAGGATGTCCCTGGGCCGAGGGGGACGGGATCGGTTCACGGCAGAATCCTACACGGTGCTGGGTGAGAGGGGCACCCGTGTGGGGAGGGGGTTTGGGGGACCCGGGGGGCACGGGGGGTGGGACACAAGAGGGACACAGGGGGGTGTGAGGATGGGACATGGGAGGTGACACGAGTGGATCTGGGGGTGACATGGGTGGGTGTGGGGCACCCCGGGGGCATGGAGGGGAGATGGGACACAGGAGGTGACACCCAGTGGGTGTGGGGCACCCTGAGGGACCGAGTGGGTCTGGGGTGGGACATCCTGGGGGGACACTGGG